GGAAGCAATTAGGAGCAAATTTGGTTTACTTATCAACATATCTATTTTCAGCATTACATTTACAGCAGTCCTGTGGTGTCCTGTGCTTTTCAAGATTTTTGGCTGCTGAGTCTGAACGCTGTTCTTCATCCACATGCCAGTATTTGAGTTCTGTTTCGAAATCTTGTGTTGTTTTCAGAAAATATCAGTTCACTTGATGCACTCGTGGCAGTCTTAGTGCCTTCTCTAAATTATAATCGATGAGACAGGATTCTACCTAATTCGTTTGCAAGGATGGTTTCTTTGAAACTAGATGTCTGAAATATGACGTGCATTTCTTTGTATGTTTTGCCAAGTATAGACTCATACCATTATAGCCCAAATCCACTTACTTCAGAGAAAGCGTCTTAATGAAAATTTAAAGCATATCAGTTTATCTTAACTTGTATAACAAAGCTGATTGACATATATTCCCTCCCAAATATTTTATATTTTTTTCAGAAAATGCCTTCTAATGCTCCCTGGGAAAAATACCTTTTATAGCAGAGAGGCATTTCCATCAAAATTCATTTGATTTTCTGACAAGTGAATTCATCAGATTTGTAGGAAGGAATCATCTGATTGTAAGGACTAGACAGCTAAACACAAAACTAGACACAAAACTCATGCACACAGCCACACAACTGGAGGGCAGGGAAGCACTTTCATCCAGCGGTTTTACCACTCATATCTGAACAGATTTCTGGTTAAATAGCCATTCTTAAGGGATGGATAATATGAAGTAATTATATTCTAATATGTATATTTTAAATAATTGATGCATCTTCCACCAATGTTTTGATTGCAACTTCCTGTGATCCCAGTTCTACTTTCCTTATGATATATTCTGCATACAGACTGAAAGAGAGGGAGACAAAATACAACCATTCATTTTCTCCATATCCTGTCCAAACAGTAGCTTCTTATCCATGATGGACAATCAAATGCTGAGACACATCCGTTTCTTTCAAAACCATCCATAGCTTCTTCTGATCCATATAATCAAAGGGAGCCTTTGGGCTGATGGGCAGGGTAGAAATATAATAAATAAATTTTAAAAATCAAGGGCCTTACCGTAGCTTATAAAACCTTTATAATGCATAGATCAATCTTTAAAAATTCTGTCTGCTCCAGATAATATTTTGCGATACAATCTTGAGTGCCTCTTTTCAGAATCCAGCTTGAACACAGGCATTTCTTGTTCCATATAGAGTAAAATTCCTTTTGCAGCACTTTGAGAATCACATTGTTTGCATGGGAAATTAGTGCAGTGGTCCTATAATTGCTGCACTCCTTAGCATCTCCTTTTGGGGAGGTTTGGAATGTATATTACATTTCCAATCTGTGGACCATTGTTATGCTTATTTATTTATTTATTTATTTATTAAAACATTTCTATGCCGCCCCTTGCCGTAGCCTCGGGGCGGCTCACAACATAATAAAATACACAATAAATTAAAACAATAACAATTAAAATATAGACATTGGAATAAAATAAGCCGCCCTGGCCAAATAAAATTCAATGATATTAACATTTAAAATGCTGCTTAAATAAAAAGGTCTTCGCCTGGCTCCGAAAAACAAATAACAACGACGCCAGGCGGACCTCTCTGGGGAGCGCATTCCATAACTTAGGCGCCACTGCTGAGAAAGCCCTCCTCCGAGTAACCACCCTCCTAATTTCCTTCACTGAGGGCTCCTGGAGGAGGGCCTCTCCCGCTGATCTCAGGGGGCGACTGGGCATATATGGACGTAAGCGCTCCTTCAGGTATGCTTTCCATATTGGTTGGCATATTCTTGTTAGGATTTGGACTGATTTAAGCTCTAAAGCTTAGAGTAGTTCTACACTTATCCTATCTATTCCAGGTCTTGGAAGGACCAAGCACTTATTCTTCCCAAGCACATTCAGAGTAATTTTCATTTCACTTTCTAATGTTGCAGGTTTTTCCTCATAGGGGTCTTCTTCCTGTCATCCTTTTATCTTTTTAATATACTTCTTCCCTATATTGTTTTCAGGTTCCCTTTCTTTATCCTGGTCACCTACTACATTCCTGATCTAAGTTTCAATTTCCCTTTGAATTCTTGAATCTTCTAGAAGAAGTCTCAGTTTTTTTCCTATTTCATTCTCTTCTGTTACTTTGCACTGGCCATTTATGAGTAGTAGTACTTTTTGTCTCTACGTGATATTTGCTGATTTTTTTTTTCATTGTTATATGGCCCAATAGCCAAAGCTCTCTGGAGTTGCATTCAGGGTTCTGACCCCATTTCTATTCTTTTTTGCTTCCTGCCTGTCCTTAGCAATTCTGTTATCTCTGAGGCTTGCTTCTTCCCTCCCTCCTTCCCTCCCTTCCTTTCCTTATGCTACAGAAATTGTGTTTTGGCATTCTACCCTAAGAATATCCCTGTCTTATGTCCATAGTTCTTCTGGTTCACAGTTGATTGAATTCAGTAATGCAAATCTGTTTTAAGAAAATTATTTAAGTTGTATTTTGGCCTGATACTTCTGTTAGTGATCTTTTTCAGCTTTCCTCTAATTTTTTATCGTAATAGTTCATAGTCACTACTGCAACCTGCTCCTGATTGTGTTCCAAAAGAAAACCATCATTCAGTAAAAGAAGACATGGTTGAAATGTAAAATTAAACACTTTCAAAAACTCAGCTTTTTAAAAACTCTCTCAACTTTAGTAGAGATAGTCACATTGTAGCTATTTCAGAACATTTATACACCACTTTTAAAAATGCTTTATTTATTCATTTATTTGTATACCATTCCATATTTTTCTGACATACCCAAAATATTCTTAATTACTGAGTTAAACCTCTATAATTTCACTTCTCTTCATACTTTATATTTGGTATTACTTTCTGAAACAAAAACAAGTTCCATAACTGTCCACATTAAAAAAAAAAGTTTCCCTAACCCTCTTTCCTGGAGGAGAGAAAGGGAAATATGAGAAACAAATGTCTAGGTAACAAAGACCTGAAGGGTTAACCTAAGTTTAAGCTGGAACTTAAAGTACCAAGGATGTGGGAGTGATCTGTGCTCCCAGGCTTATCCCTGAAGATGTGCCCAAGGACACCTTGTTGATAGGAATGGCCTTGGATGATAATGGTATGAATTGCTAACAACTGGAGAAGTTGAGGCCTCTTAGACTGACTGGTTGGCATCACTCCATTGCCAGGAGAGGGGTGTTGAAAAACTCCTGGCTAGACAGAATCTTTTGTCTCATGGTGGGAGGTCTCACTCCCTGACCAAATGCTGAAGTTTTCATAGCAGCCGGATCTGCTTCAGGTAAACAGTCTTTTAGGGCTAACTTTAATAATGTTTCCTTCTGTGGTGCAACAAGTGTTTTGTGTGCTTGGGATCACAAAATTTGCTGACCGTATATAATTTTGCTGGTATCCACTTCCCTTGCCCTTTTTTAAATGATTCACTTCTTTAAATTGAGTGAGTTGTAGTGCTAAATTTAGTATTGTGGCCATTGGACTGAGTTTGGTCTTTGGGCAGTTGTAGTACAACAATAGTGAGACAGGGAAAGAGCTTTTTTTGGCTTACCATTACAACCCATTGTAACAGTATGAAAGGCAGTATCTTAGTGTTCCCGAGTGCCAGCTCCTAGGAGTAGACTTAAGGTCCTTTGCTTGCTCTCTATGAATGTGGCTGTAACCTTAACTAGGAACCCATCAGTTTTAAAATGACTACTGTCATGTAGTCTGTTCCCTCACGCAAAGTGTGCGAGGGGCGAAACATCCCTTCAGTCACTTCATAGCCTGGTAAGTTTGTTCAGTGATTTTTGCCTGCTTTGTTTGCTTTCTGTTAAAATAACTGTGCACCTAGAAGCTGTACTTCACACCTGCCTTTCCATTGCAGTTGTATTTTAAGTACATATGTAGACTACATATCAACTGAGAGCTCTGGTCTCAAGGAAACCAGAGTGGAGCTCTTTATATATTGGAATGGAGAAAATTACAGTCAACAAACAGTTTAACCCTGATAGAGCTTGAGATTTGCAAGGGCTGAATGCTCTTTGGGAGGAGGCTAGGCAGAGAAAAGATGTTTACCTCTTTGATATGGGCACAGTTAGGGTATAGTGTTGAGATCAAGGGAGGTTCAAAGGGCAGCAACAAAGGGGAGGCATCTAATCATGGAAGTCACAATTGAGGGTCGCCTAGTGCTAACTTCATCATCCTTTTGGACTCGGGGTAAGAAGCCCTTTGCGTGAAGGCACTTAAAGATACCTAACGTTATATAATGGCTTGATGCGGCACCCATGTCGTGTTTGTTTCATATGCTTAGTGTTTTTAACAAGCTTACTCTTTATTAAATACTGTTTTAGCTGCTAAATTATTTAAACATTTTAAGTTGTTTTAAAATTCTGTATTATGGAAAATGTTACAGTTGTTTTTATCATATTATGGTCCTGTTTAAGGAGCTGTTGTAAACCACCGAGAGAGCTTTGGAGCGATATGGAAGTTAAATATATAAAATGTTTTGTGCTTGTTTTTTTCTTCATTCATTCAGGAACTTGCTCTTAACCTGAACTAGGAACCTGTAAAATTAAGTTATTAGCAAATGTGGTGTTAATAGCTCTCCCCAAAAGTTTTTTCTAAAATGTTTGAAAAGTGTTGCATCAAATTAGCTGTTGGTTTAACTGTGATTATCTTAGTTCTTGTTAACAAGTCCAGTAGAAGAGGTGGTAATGGTAGAAAATTAAAGAATAAATGTAATATTAACTTGACATACTCAAAACTGATTTCCAAGTCTTACTAAGAATAGATATCCACTTACTGCTGACTGCCTGATAAAATAGTTTCAATTTTCACTTTAAAATTGTTTGAGCAGGAAGTCATTATCCAGTACAACCACTCAAAAGTCCCAATATTTCATCTTTCATAGTAACTGCAAGCACTACCTCCGCTCAATGTGCAATTCAAATGTAAGCCATCTGCTTTTTTTTTCCTTTTATGTTTGTGCTATTCAGTTTGACAAAGGGTATGCTTACAGCATCCGGCATAGTTATGGAAAAGAAGGCAAGAGAACTGATTATACTCCATTCAGCTGCATGAAAATTATCCTGTCCAATCCACCAGGCCAAGGGGATTATCATGGTGAGTGCTTACACCTGACATGTTCACAATGCATGGGAACCGAGCAGCCTCGGAAGCCAACTGATTGGCTGCCTGTATTAATAGCGGAAGTTGGTTTTGCAGCTTAGCCAGTCATCAGTGTCACGCCTAGTGTGTTGTTACTCTTCTGGTGATTTGTCTTATTACAGAACTAGGTCAAGCAAGGGAGATTCATTCAGCAACACTTCAGTATGCTTCTTGGTGTTTCTTCTCTCTTCTTGCCTCTGTGGCTCTTCTCTACTCCTCCCACCCCAGTCCAGTACATCTAAGGACAAAGTTCCTCAGTGAATTGTGGCTTTGCTTTGTTTGCAGTCTGTCAAATAGTAATAAATAATTTGATCTTTCTAATAGCTAAATGTTCTCTGGAACGGTATTAAATATTTTAAGTCTTGTGACAAAGTTGGAGTAGCACAGCACACTTAGTATAAAAGCAGGTCCTCTTATACAGGCATATTCAGCTTTCTTTAGCTATTGAGATTACGCTGGAATGCACAAGCACTCAAGAGTGTATACTGGAACAGGCCATGTATCATAGCCCCACCCCTTACATGCTCCCTCCCCTTCAGTCCACCCCATGTTGAAACAGCAAGGTCTGGAAAGGCATACTACTTGTGTTTGAACAGAACTCTCCTTGCAATTAAGGTGGAGAGTTCTATTTGCATTTATGTGGATATGGGAACTCTTGTTCAGACATTGTCGATTCACTGTGATGGGTCTGAACTGAGAAGGGCAGGGATGGTGCACCAAACCTTGTGCTTTCATTATAAAAAATAATGTTGCCCCCATTCTCTCTGCGCAAAGCTTGTATAGTGTTTCTCTTACGCAGGAATCTGTCAACAGAATCCTTTGGATTCATTATTTTAAAAAAAGACACTCTCATTTTTTCCACACAAAAGCATGTGGAATGTTTTCAGAAGAGTGAAGTCTTAGAAATGGTAGACTGGGTCAAATTAAGAGACCTCTATAGCCCGTTTTCTTCCTGACAACAGGCAGTGGGAGATTCGCTCCAAAGGAATCTACAGTGGCTTGCTTATTCTCAAGTCTGTTTCTTCCTAGTCATTTAAGGTATGAATGTGCTGTGAAAAGTTCCTTGTTAATTGTGTTCAGGGGAAAATGTGTGTTTCTTTGCCAGCTTTTTGTATTATAAAGAAAGTAAATAACAATTCCCAAGCTCCATCGTCCTCACCATTCGTGTTCTTAAATGCCATGCAAGCTGAAATGCACAGCCTGGATGCCTTTAGATAGAGAACCACAGTATAATGTTTAGAAGAGGCTTTTTTCCCCAAAGACTAAGACTATATAATTCCTTTTTCTATGTATTTAAAAATATGCATAATCATTGGTATCTGCTGATTTCACTTAAACTTTGATTGTGGTTTATATGCCAGCTAGGCTAGGCTACCTAGGTTTTTAATCAATGTAGATTGCACCAGTCAAATCAACACAATCAAATAGGTACAAATATTCCGGATTAATAATTTTGTAAATAGAATTATTTGCAGTGTTCTTCCTTCCCCATTGTAATCCTGCAGACGTATAGCTGGCAGCCATTAAACACATTTTCTGTTTTTCAATAACTTATCATAGCCAAACTATTGCAGTTTTTAATGTTTGTATGGCCATACTATAAGCCATTTTGCATGACACAAGAGCCCACTTTGTATTAATTTATCCTCAAGGAGTTTTGGCCTGGAGTCGCTATGCTTGTTGTCATAGAAACATGGGCAGTAGTGGTTCTTTGAAGATTAAACAATCTTGCATAACCTTGAAACAGACCATGAGTTATGCAGGGCTTGTTTAACCCTAGCAGGGCTCGTTATTCTCATATAACCCCAGTCCTCTATTAGCTCCATTGGCTTTCCATCAAAGTCCAGGCTCAATTCAAGGTGCTGGTTATTACCTATAAAGGCCTAAACGGCTTGGGACCAGGATACCTAAAGGAACTCCTTTTTCCCTATTTGCCCTCCCGCCGCCTGAGATCAGCAACAGAAGCCTTCTCCGGGAACCCTCTCTGAAAGACATTAGGAGACAGAGTACCCAGAGGAAGGCCTTCTCTGCGGTGGCGCCCCGACTATGGAATGCGCTCCCCAGAGAGGTCTGCCTGGTGCTGTCATTATGTTTTTCGGCACCAGGTTAAGACCTTTTTATTTAATCAATGTTTTAATACATTTTAATATTGTATTTTATTGTTGTATTTTATTAACTTGCAGCCAGAGTGGGTCAATTTACTTATGTTGTAAGCCATCCAGGGATGCAAGTAATTGGACGGCATACAAATTTGATAGATAAATAATCAAACAAACGCTTAAAATATTCCCCGCCTTCTGGGTTCAGAAGATGCAGAAAAGCAGGACTACCCCTGGCCAAGGCTTAATGGTGGACGTCACAGACTGAGGTGTCCCAAGGACTAATTAACCCCATTGGGCTGTTGAGTTGTCTCAACCAGGTAGATACTTTGTGTAAAAATGTTCATACTCATTAATGAGAAATCTAATTAAAAGTGTGTTCCATTCAAGTGAATGTAGGTTTTGAACCCCACACTAGCACATTTAGAAGTAGACATTTGGAAGAGGAGTCTAACGTAATTGCACATATGGGCAATTGACTTCTGTATCATTGCTAAGCTTTTCAAAAATTAAGAACTGCTTAGCCAGACTCTCCAGCTTGTTGTAGTAACTTCTGGGCAAATTGTTTTCTTAGTACACTTACCTCTGGTCTTTGTTGTCAGGATGCCCATTCCGCCACAGCGACCCTGACCTCCTGAAGCAGAAGCTGCAATCATATAAAGTCCCTCCCACTGGGGTCAGTCAGGTAGGGGATACCTTCTTCTGATATCACCAAAGTGTAGCATCAAATATTTCCTTTCAGCTTAGTTGAATGCTGATGTACAGAGTGTGACAGTGCATGCAAAATATCGTTTAAATTGGAGTATACTATTTGTTTCAGCAGTTTTTCTTTCATCCAGGAAATGTTCTCTTCACAGTGCTGACAAGGGGATTGATAGTTCTGTTTCTCGTTACTATAATATACTTTTTGTGTTTCATCAAGGACAATGAGCAGACTCATGAAGGTCTATTTATTGCAGCTTCTTATAACTCTGTTTTTAATAAAAGTGGGAGTAAAGGACAATATTTTTCTTTGGAATTTTAAAATCTTGACTGTGAAAGATACTTTGTAGTCGGAAGGTACAGTGATTGGCATTAGTCACTGCACTATAATAATCTATTAATTCATGCACATTTTGTTTAAAAATATTGTGTTATATTGAATTGTCATAAATAAGAACTGTTTGTACTAAAAAGTAAATCTATTAAGTTCAATGATACTTTCACATACTTCCAATGTACTTCCAATGTATGCAGTATTGCAGCCTCCATATAGTGAATTTTTTTGCAGTGTATGTTTAAATTTTGGACCCTCTTAAAATATGTGGATACAAATAGGCCTGTGCTTAGCCAGGCCTTTTCAAAACCTTGTGAATGAGGCAGCCCACTATTTGCTGTGGCTAAGTTGCTCCCATTTGGCTCTTCCTGTCAGTGGAAAATGCTAAATAACCAAGGAATGCTCAATTTACGGCTTGTTTGTAACAATATCCAAACCTGGAACTCCTGTTGTCGCTCCCTCAATAAACCAGAATTAGAACACTGGATTGCACCCTGGGTTGTTAAGGGAACGAAGTGAGAGCAGTCAAGCCAGTAGGACTAGTGCACTGGCTTGTTCTCAACAACCCACAGTTAAAAAAAACCTAGGTTGTCTTTGTGAGCAGTCTGGGGCTGTAAAGACCTATGGAACATCGTTGAAAGGAACCTCCTACTTCTCTCTTGGTGTATTCTGTTGCATATCCCCATAATCACCAGGATACTCTTTTTAACTGAGTCAAATAGGCTAACCAGCTGTTAGCACACACTTGTTTCCTTTTGAACCCCCACTGTCATCACACTCGCTTTCAGCCTAACGGCAATATTAACACCATTTCTAGCCAAGCCGTCCAAAGTCAGTCTCCCTACAGTTGTTGGAATGTATTGAAAGCCTTTCTCTCAGTGCCAGTTAACTCAAACCAGGTACTCCTGGTTGTAGTTTATAATTGCTTTGTTGATCCTAACTTCCAGCAATTTCCTCTCATGCAAACCCCAAAGCCTTTATCAGTATACACTTTCACATCTTGCCCTCAGAGCTTTCTGAATCTCATGATCACTTCTGGCCATATTCATAAGCAAAGTGCTGCTATCATGGTATGCGTAAATCTGAATTTTTAGATTGTAATGTTTCTGTATTTGAAGCATTGTATCAGGCTCTGAATGAACTGCTTTTACACAGCAAAAGTACCTCATCTTTATTATTGAAACACATGTATTCTGCAGTTTTGTATAAAATTATTTTCAGAATCCTCACAGGTTTTTGTAAGGCTGTTTTAAACTTTAGTTTCATGTGCAAATAAGTAATTGTGATCAGAAATTCTGCCAAAGAATAGACCAGAGATAAACTCCATGGCTGTGTAAGCTAGCTTTTTACCCAAAAGTGGGTGCTCATGGGTGAACAAAGATATTTAAAATCCAGTGCAAATAGAAATTTGCAACAAAATGTTTCTCGGGGAATACAGTTTGCAGCTGGAGTTGACTGAATTCTACCTTCCATGCTTTCAGTAGCCTCAGTAGTGGCTAGTAACATGTTGGGTAAAGGGTACTTTCAGATCTCTTCCCAAGAGCCTAAATATACCTGGGATAAAATGTGGAACCTGCAAAGGAGCATAGGATTTAACTATGCCTACCAATTCCTATCACACGATTTATACAATAGCAATAGTAACCTATAGGAAATGTAAATTGTTTTGAAGAAAGGGGGTGGCTTATTTGCCAGTTTAATGTTTAGTGTCACAAAGTGTCAGGGAAGCATTTCTACATGTACTTTTTGACATTTTAAGTAGCAGTGATAACAATTTGCATGTTTTTTACTCATCTTCATGCTAGGTGTCTCCAAGATGCATTTTTAACTTGACAAGTACTTTATTGAGATTCCACATCTTCAGTTTGGTTCCACATCAAAATAAATGACAACCGAAGTCCAGATAGCAATTTATAAGTAGTGATTTTCATTCAAATAATTCCCAGAAATAGATTAAAACACTCACATTTTGGTGTATGCTTAGTTCTTCAAGATGGTTTGTCATTAATTACGGTGACTGCTAGGATAATTTCCTGCACATTCTGAAGAAAACTGTCAGATTTCTTCCCATTAAGCTCTTCTGAAGAAAAGGCTTCCCCTGAAACTTCAGGATAAAGTGTACGTTATTATAAGGAATGTAAGGAAGCTGTGCTAATGGTGTCCAGAATATCTTTCCTTAATTTACTTCACAAAAACAATGCTAAATCCCTTCTGTGTTACCAATTCTTGGAGCTAATAACCTATTTTCACAATCCTTGTGCCATTGTTTGTTTAGTATTAGCATTATCTCTGGGGAAAATGCAATGTTGCACTAGTGAGAAGGGTGGGGTTAATTTTCAAGATCTTGGTTTGTTGCTACCCCACTGGTTTTGTCCTTAAAGCAGGGTGCAGAGGGACAAATTAAATTCTAGATAACTTTTTGGGTCCAAGTTCCTCTGGTAAGTGTGGTGAAAGGCAAATAGGACAAGGAAAAATACAAAAAAAAAATCAGGTTAAAACTTTTACTGCTAGTAATGTAAGATAGGCACTGCAACATTTTAGAATGGATTAAAAACTGCCAACCTCAAGCAATCATATGATGGGTAGTAGGGGAGAGAAAGTGGTCATCTGGGGAACCTGGGAGAGCCAGGTTTGGAGCTTCAAGGGACAGATTTGACTCACAGATTTAGTCATTGTATGTATTATAGCTGTTCTATAAAGTCTGTAATCTAAACACATTTCCTTTTAGTAAGCCCATTAAACTTGGTGGGACTTGTAAATAAACTCACACACCTTATTAATTCAGATCCTGTATGAAGGTATGATGCTTCCTTTCTACTTTTTGCCCACACAGTTTGAGCTGCTAAAAGGTGATGAAAAAGTCTTTGTTGGAACGTCCTGGAGTATCACTAACCATTATTTTCAGGAGAATTAATTTAGGTTCTTTCTCTAAGAGTAATGTAATATTTCATGGCACTTGGATATCGCTAAGTTAGATAACCTTTGTGCCTCTGGGCATTTCTACCGCTTACTTCAAAAATGTGCAGGGTGGAATGTATTATTTTAGTAAACCCCTTTTTAGGCTAAAAATGAGTAATTTTTGTTAAAAATCCCTTTACATCTCTGTTGGGATGTAAAAAGCAGTAAATTTTTGGTGTTAAATGTTGGAAATAGAGCATGCAAGGAAAGAAAATGGTTGCTTCATGTAAGCATATAAATGAAGGTATTTGCAGAGCCATTAGAGAACAAGCCGTGTTACATTGAGGTAGTGAGAAACTGACCTGGAACTGGGGAAAATGTCTCTAAATATGTTCCAGTAGCTGCACCTCAATCACATTTTAAGTCACCTTTGAAATAAAAATGAAGGTTAGAAATAGATAAAATGCAGCAAGTCTTTACTGGAAAGATTGAGCCTTTAAGAACAGAAGTTACTATTTTATTTGAAAATGGATTTAAATTGACCTTGAGTAAATGAAGATATCAGCGATTATGAAAGCAAAAGTACGGTGCATTGCAGAAGCATTCACCTCCCTTTGACTTTTCCATGTTTTGTTGTATTACAACCTGGAACTGAAATAGATTTAACTGGCATTGTTACCACTTGATCTAAACAAAATGTTCAACACTGTGAAGATGCAAAATATTTTTATTGTGGAACAAAAGTTAAGTAAGCAAAAAAAACAAAACAAAAAAAACCCTGTTTCAGCTGACTAGCAATGGTTCTCAGTTCATGGTAAAACCTGGCACACTGAATTCTGCTTATACTGTGGATGCTTAATGTGGCCACTTGGCGTGGATTCAGAGAGGTTTCACACAAGGGGAAAAACAGTTGAGTTTGCACCAGGCAGTCTGCCAAACTCCTCCATCCTGCTGCAGTGTTCCACATCCTGTCCTGTGTCATTCCAAAGAGTCCATCGACTTTAAAGTCTGGGTTGGGTGGAACAGCGAACTGTCAAGGTGGGTGAACAAGAAGTGATTTTCCCCAGACAGATTTGTTTGAGCTGGACAAAAATTGGCAATGATTTGTGATTAGGGCTGTACCTACGTATGCTATACAAAATGCCCTTTTAGTGCTGGCCCTGTACTGCTAAGGTTTAGTCCTAACAGGGACTGACCACATTGTGTCTCAGGATGCTTTTCAAATTGCTTTGAGTATCGGAAGCAGCCTGTGAAACAGATGGGATAAGGGGCAAGAGAGCTGCTCTTAAAGAGTGCTATGGTTCACATGAAACAGGCCACATGCCACTCAGGATTCTAGTCTAATGTTGCCATTATCTTAAAGTAGGTAAAATGAGTTTAAGCATGTCCTCAGAGGTATGACAATCCCTTCTTCTCTTGGGCACCTTTTCTGTTTTGTCTGAATATTCATTAACAATTTTAATTAGGTAAACCTACATTTTAAAAATATTGTTGTTACAAGTTTCATTTCAGAGGCAAATAGTGCCAGATTTAAAAGTCTTTTGGCTGTTTGACTTTTTTTTTCACATGATATTTAACAGGAAGTGACAGGAAAGGCAGACATGCAATCAGTTGTGCTTGTAACAGCAAAACAAACCCAGTAAGCATTTCTTTGGCAGCATTGTGGTTTGATTCGTTCAGCAAATATTATTTGTACATCTGTCAATAACTATAAGGCAACCTCCAATAATGAGGACAGCAGGGATTTGTGCCAGAGTTATTGCTGTGCTTGATGCAGGAAGGTCAGTCTTTGGAAAAACGGGTTGGAAATTTGCATTTCTCAAGCATTTTCACTCTACTGAGGCTATCTCTCAGTTCCAGCAGTTTTCTGTGCTTGATAAGCATTAAATATACAGTTTAATTATATAATGGTGAAGGAGAAAATGACATACAACTTAAATTTCAAATGGCATTGCATTCTGCTGATAAGAATGAGTGGTTATGCATGACAGAAGAGATTACATGAGGTAGGATTGAAAAGCAAATTGTATTTACAAGAGATAGAAAGATGTTTCTAATAGGAGTTCAAAACAGACAATTGCCTTTCTCATTCTGAAGAGAATTTCTAAAAACAGCTTATTTTGAAGACTGATGTTACAGAAGATAGAAACATGTCGCTTTCTGCAACTCTGCTTTTAAATTGGAAGTATGGTTGTATTATGTCACACATATATTAACAAGTTCTGTATAAAATAAAAAGTGACAGGAAACTCGAGAGTTCATGTTTCTGTCTCTCAAATGCTAAATTTCTGTTTGAAACCATAGAAGATACTTTTGCAGCATCGGAGTTTCATCAACAGCTATTGTGAATATAGTGCCCCTCGGTCTTATGTACTTCTGTTTTCTTTGTGAAGGAAAACTATTAAGCTTTGTAGTTTAAAAGGCTGGAGCTCTTTCTGTTGATACTTTGGCTATAATAGTTAGCATGGGACTGGGGGATGTGGCCAGGAGCACTGACTCTTACAATTTCTAAAACAATTGCAGAATTTAAACATAACTTGACGAGCTAGTATAGTCATATTATTAATCTAAAGAGTTCTTCACCCCCTTTCCCTTTTTCAGATTTTGGACCTTGTAAAAGGTATGCATTACCAGCTGGCCTGTCAGAAATACTTTGAAGTGACACATAATGTGAGTACATATTCAGTTGATATTTTTATTACTCAAAAAGCAGTTTGTGATCTCTAGAAAGACTCTGGGAAATCCAGTGTGAAACTGCAGACATTTGTTCAGATTCATCAGGTACTGCCTTCCAATGTTTTTTATGCCAAATCAATGATTACATAGCAGATGTCTTTGAGTCCATGTACAAATTGACACTCCATATTGCCTGATTCTTCAGTATACAAAATCAACAAATGTATTATGAGGTTGTCTAGCTTTATTTTGAGGCAGAATGGTTTATATTTATGAAGTGACATTGAGTTGGTCTTGGCTAATGAAATTAATTAGACAGGGAAAACATCTTTCATGTTTTTTTTTCTTTCCAGAAGTTAGAAGTAGATAAAGCTCCAAGTTACATCATGATAGCAAAACATACTTTATGTTTTGATTTTAACACCCTAGGCCTTCTGTTTTACTTTGAGGGCTGGTTGAATTTTGTGTATTTTATTTTATAAAATACAAAATAAAATTGTTTTATAAAAATTGTTTTATAAAACAATTTTATTCTGTAGTTTCACATAGTTAGAACTGGCTCACAAACAATTATGGAAAGAATACACTGGAATGGCAAACCCACACTGTAAATGTATTTTCATCTCCAAGAGAGAGGAGCAAAACTAGTTAGACAACCAAAAGTGGTTAACACAGGGCAGTGATTATATGCTTAATTTTGGGCCAACTAAGAGCACCATGGGTGGCAATTGCCATATCAGGCATGCATGTGGCTTGTTCCTTCTTCTTATTTGCTAGGCTTTTAAGGCAGGAACCAAGCCAGGGCACTACAGCTTAGCCTTGTTGCCATGATTCTGACTCTACTAGTTGCTGTAGGCAAAAGAAGATGAGAAATAGGTAAGCACTCAGCCCCTTGGGGCTGTGATACACTTCAGTTTTAATGAAGTACTTTCCCCCACTATATAGAATCACTAATCATATAGTATAGATAGTTCAAAACCTGCAAGTGCATGATGAGCTTCACCTCTACCTTTGTAGTCACATAACCTTCACTTTTAAAAATAGCTACTATGGTAAGCAAAATAATTAAAAGGGGAATTAAATGATTTTTAAAGGTCAAGCATATTTATATGATGTGCATTATCTAGAGTTGAGCCTTGACTTTGAGGCCTCTTAGTTTCTTTTTAACTCTACTGCTTAGGCCAAAATATCACTTTACTCATACCAGAAGTCTCCAACCTGATTTGGGGTGATGGACATCTTTGGAATTTTGAGGGCATTATCACAAAAAATGCCATGGGGAGAGTTTTTTCATTAATCAGATGACTACCATAGTGTGTCTGGAGCTAGTCATGAAACACCCACTTTCCAGAAGGCAAACAGGTTTGAGTAAAAGCATCTAAGATCCAAATTCTAAAATACCTATTTCCCCCCATAAAATACAACAAAACATCCATTTCTCTTAAGGGTTTGCAATGTGTCTGCCTGACTTTGTTTTAAATGAATCCATATCTGAAAACCTAAATCTGAAAATATTTTTTTAAAAATTAAACAAGACAGAGAGGGATACTAAGAGAAGTGTCTGTAGGCAGGATGGTGTCTTCCATAGTCCATATGGGAAAGCTCAGGGAGGTCCTCTTGTTTCTACATTTGGGCTCAGCTCTCACCATTGTCATTGAATTTGGTTGGAGCCCCCCAAATGGATTATGGATTTTGGGGTGCGGCTCTGTAGAGCTCTTGCTCATCTTTGCTAGCAACACAGTTGTTCTTCCATGGAATGCAAATGCCAACATGTGTGGTAAGTGTTGACAGCTTTTTATCTATTGTCAGTGTGGCTCATTGAAATCACAAAAGGAAAGATATGTGAATGTAGAAACATGGCCAATATTTGAACTACCAAGTAGACCTGACCTGTTGTGCACTTTATTTATTTAGAATATTTATATGCCGTCCTGTCGCAAAGACCTCAGGACGGCTTACATACATAAAATAGTATAAAACATAACACACATGAATTACAGATCCACACTGGCTGCAGTTAAAAACATATATAAACCAATATTAAAAGTTATTAAAATATTGTTGGAATAAAAAGGTCTTAGCCTGGCGCTGAAAAACAAATAACGACGGCGCCAGGAGGACCTCTCTGGGGAGCGCATTCCATAGGCGGGGCGCCACCGCAGAGAAAGCCCTCCTCCTGGTACTTTGCCTCCTAATATCTTTCACGGATGGTTCCCAGAGGAGGGCCTCTGCTACCGATCTCAAGGGGCGGGAAGGCAAATACGGAAGAAGGCATTACTTTAGGTATCCTGGTCCCAAGCCGTTAAGGGCTTTATAGGTAATAACCAGCACCTTGAATTGAGCCCGGGCTTTGATGGAAAGCCAGTGAAGCTGATAGAGGACTGGGGTTATATGAGAATAATGCCCAGTCCCCATCAGCAACCTGGCTGCTCTATTTTGCACCATCTGAAGTATCCGAACTGTCTTCAAGGGCAGCCCCACGTAGAGCGCGTTACAGAAATCCAACCGGGAAGTAACCAATGCATGTGTCACTGTCACTAGGCAATTGTCCTCCACGTAGGGACGCAGCTGATGGATTAACTGAAGCTAAAGGAAAGCGCTCCTCACCACCCCAGTCACCTGAGTTTCCAGGGACAGCTCTGGGTTGAGGAGCACTCCCAAGCTGCAGACCCTGTCCTTTAGAGGGAGTGCAACCCCATTCAGGGCAAGGTCCAAGTCACCTACCCAGGAGCGCGATCCACCCACCAACAGGACCTTTGTCTTGCCTGGATTGAGCTTCAGTTTATTGGCCCTCATCCAGCCCATTACCTCAGCCAGGCACCAGTTCAGTACAGCCACTGCCTCACCTGGATTAGTTGAAAAAGAGAGGTAGAGCTGGGTGTCATCAGAATACTGATGATTCCGCAGCCCAAACCTCCTGATGACCTCTCCCAGCGGTTTCATGTTGATATTAAATAGTAAGGGGGACAAAATGGACCCCTGCGGTACTCCATGGGATAACTGCCATGGTGCAGAGCCAAAGTCCCCCAGCACCACCTTCTGGAATTGGCCATCGAGGTAGGAGTGGAACCACTGCCAAGCAATGCTTCCTACTCCCAGTCCCTCCAGCCTATCCAGAAGGATACCATGGTCGATGGTATCGGAAGCCGCTGAGAGGTCCAGGAGGACCAGTAGGGACACACTCCCCCTGTCTCTCTCCCTGCACAGGTCATCATACAGAGCGACCAGGGAGATTCAGTACTATACCCGGGTTTGAAGCTGGACTGAAATGGGTCCAGATAATCAGTTTCATCCAAGAGTGCTTGGAGTTGTCCCGCCACCACCCGTTCAAACACCTTGCCCAAAAACGGGATGTTGGCCACCGGTCTATAATTGGCGGCCATCTCTGGATCCAGGGATGCCTTCTTTAGGACAGGCCTGATTACCTCCTCCTTTAAAGGAGCAGGCACCCGGCCGTCCCTCAGAGACGTTAATGACCTCCAGGATCCAGGCACCAATCCCATGTTTGGCTTTGGTCAGCAGCCACAACGGGCAAGGGTCAGGTAAACAGGTGGTGGGATGTACTTGTCCAAGCACCTTGTCCACATCATCAGGCCGCAATAACTGAAATTCATCCTTTAATATCTGGCCAGATGGAGTCATTGGCATCTCCCCTAAAGGATCTGAATCACTTGTGGAGTCCAGCTTGTGACGAATCTGAGCGATTTTCTCCTTGAAGTGCTGGGCAAAGTCATCACAGCGGGCCATCGAAGGTGGTACAGGATCTTTCTTAGGGCCAGGATGTATCAGCCCATGTACCACTCAAAAGAGCTCTGCTGTATGGCACTGTGAGGAGGCAATGGTAGTGGAGAAGAATTTCTTCTTCACTGCCTTCACCGCCACAGCATAGGCTTGATAATGAGCGCGTAGGCATGTTCGGTCAGATTCGTCCCGTGATTTCCTCCAACTACACTCTAGATGTCTCCCAACCCGCTTCATCACCTGTAATTCATATGTGTACCATGGGGATGAAGGGGCTCTGCCGGGCAGGAGAGGACGCTTAGGAGCGATGGTGTCAATAGCTCTGGCCATTTCCCCATTCCACAGTTCAACCAGAACATCAACAGGAGCGCCAGCTTTATCAACCGGAAACTCCCCCAGAGCCTTCAGGAATCCATCCGGATCCATCCAGCTCTGAGGGTGGACCAACAAAATAGGGTCCGTACCCTTACAGAGAGAAAGGCCAGCATCGAGCTCAAACCTCATGAGGAAGTGATCTGACCATGACAAGGGAGTCAGGCACAAATTCCTCACCCTCTGATCACCTGCTTCCTGCCCCGTTGAGAAAACCAGGTCCAGCGTGTGTCCACATTCATGGGTCGGGCCTATGACATGTTGAGGCAGCCCCATGGCCATCATGGAGGCCATGAAGTCCTGAGCCACCCCAGTCAGAACAGTCTCGGCATGGAGATTGAAGTCCCCCAGGACCAACATCCTGAGGGTCTTCAACACCAGGTCCGAGACGATCTCCGTCAGCTCAGGCAGGGAGTCTGATGGGCAGAAGGGTGCATGATACACTAGCAGAATCCCCAATCTGTCTTGGTCGCCAAGCGCCAGGTATAAGCACTCTAGACCCGGTCTCGAGAGAACAGGAAGCCCCGCAAGGGAAATAGATGCTCGATAGATTAAAACGACCCCCCTCCCCTCCCCTCCGCACGTGGCCGGTGCTGGACCAGATACCCGGGCAGGCACAGTTGAGAGAGGGATACACCCTCCCCCGCCCATGTCTTTGACCAAGCCAGGTCAGCGCCCTCATCCACAATTAGAGTCGTGGATGAGGGATGTTTTGTTATGGACTGACCTGGCATTAAGCAGCAGCACTGTCAGGCCCAAGAGGCGGTTGATAAGCATACCTGGAACCTTCCGGTTGGGGGAATAACCAGAAGGGGGAACAGGTGTCAGCCATCTGTCCCTCCTTCTTCTATGCCGACATGCTAAACCCCCAGCGCCATATTGACCATTGCCCAACATCACCCCAATGGTGGCGCCCACGCGCTCCCCAGGCAATCCCTTAGTAGCAGCCAAATGTTGAATCCATTAAAACAGTCCAATAAAATACAATTAAAGTACAGTTAAAACTCTCCAACCCACCCAATTACAAAACACACACGCACGCAGAGTACCTGGCCAGCCCAGCCCCCACACAGCCCCAAGCGGTGGCAGCGTCCTTGGTCTGTCGCCCTTGGTCCGCTGGCCTCAGCCGGCGAGTTAATCCCACGGCCCTGCCGTTAATCCTCCCTGCGCCCCGCCCCCAATCTGGCGCAGCTGCCACCCATGCCAGCAGGGGAGGGGCAAGGGCAGGGCCTGTGGAGAACTCGCTGGCAGGATGGAGGGCCCTCAGGCCAGCTGTGTCCTGGCCCCCAGTCCCGCGGTGGCCACTTAAACAGCCCTTTGTTTGATACAGCAAAGTCTTCAAGCAAAGTGGCACAGCTTTCTGTGTGAAACCATGCCTCTTGGCACCCTTAGACAGGGACTTTTTCAAGTACCCCATTCCTCTAATGGGGGTTTGCCCCACAGTGTGGGGGGGGGGCAGAGGGGAAGCATGCAGCTGTCTGGCTCTGTTCCCACAGTACTCCCTGCTGACATCAAACTGAGTTGACTACAAAGCTATGCATGTGACAGTTTCCCATGGTGACTTAGGATGGTACTGAAGACTTCAGAAACAAAGACACATTTAAATGAAGCAAAATTTAATTAATGCATTTAAAAAAGACATAAACCTTTGGTGCCTGTCCCTAGGTCAGTCTTCTTAGCTTGCATGCCAAATTTCAGTTTTCTTGAGTTCACAGTCGAAGCCCCATGGCACCCACATAGTCTTACATTATTTCAGAAGATGGTGATCATGCTCTCCAAAGTGTGGACCAAAACACTTGCTGAAGGACTCCCATAAAGAAAAAATTGAGGCTCTTTTAGAGGATACATGATTAATGTAATATCTGTGGTATATGAAAGGTACAGTCCCCATTGGTAGGAATAGCAGAAGGAGGAGTCCTGCTGGATGAGATTAAAAGCCTAGCTGGCATTGTGTTCACCACACCAGCCAACCAGATGCCTGCTGGGAAGCCCTCAAATAAGGAATAAGTAGTAGCTATTGAAAGCTTTATCCTCTCTGAAAGGTTTGGACAGTGTGTTTGTATTTATTCATTGCTGTTACTGTCTAGATATTTTGCATTGCTTATTAGTGACTTTTCTTTGGTAACATGACTTTGTTTTGGTTGCACTTCATCTGCATTTGAATTAGGTCTTTTTATTTAGATTTTCATTGTGGTCAGTTCATATTCATAAGAACAAATGAGGCCTTTCTCCCTACGAGCCACAAGTGAGGACTTAAAATACTTATGAACATAACAAGTGGAAATAAAAAATAGTAGTACAGAGAAGGGTTAAGCAAAGCAATAAACGGGCAAAATTATACTTTCTCATATGATGGAATAGTTTCTTTTTCACTTGCAAATTAGTAATTTATTTTAAAACAGATTAAGAAATTGAGAGTCGTGATGCCACAGTGAGCTTCAAATTTTATTTAGATATAATAAAATTACTTTCTGGTGTCATAATATTAAAACTGAGTCCTGAACCCTGAAAATAAAATTCTTAGCAAAAAAAAATCTGAGATATGTTTTATTTTGGCCATAGGCCATGATAATAGATCATTAAAATGAGATAAAACAATATTATAACCAGCACTGTGTGTAAGTAATCACATTTCCAATCTGATACATGATTATTGCAGTGAAAAAAGCACTGGTGACAATGCAACTGCCATGATAAAAGCAACTACTTTCATTGTCTTCTTGGTTGTTTATTATTTAGTTATTTTAAACATTTTAATCCTTTTCAGCCATCAAGGCTTCCAGAATGGTTTGCGTAAGATCATTAAAACAACCTAATATTAAAAACAGTAAAATGTATGTGTGTTCTTTAACAGTGACATCCTACACATGTCTGCGCAGTGGAAAGTCCTGCTGAAATCAGCCAGACTTACTCCCAGAAAAGTATGTGTTAGACGAATATCCTGTGCACACTTACTTGGGAGTAGGTCTTACTGAAATATGTGGTACTTCTGCGTAGACTTGCATAAGATCACCCTCTTTAATTAATCATCATGTACTGTAATTACTCATATAAGGGAAGGTGGCAAATAGGTAGTCCAGTTTTGATAGGCGCTAGCAGAGAATTAATTGGCCTTCTTACAACAAACATCTAGAAATGGTTCCATACATCTTTTGCATCAATTATTTGTTTGCTTTAACTGATAAGTTAGTCATTTAGATCCAAATAAATATGTTCTTTGTGCTTGAATAGCTGTAAATGTTTTGCTATCATGAGTGATATTGCTGGGCCAAAACATAATAAAATAGATGTGCTGCAGCATTTTAGGAAGCTGTCAAGTCCATTACTATGCAAGAAATATAATTAGAGGATTTGCCATTTAAATGGGTGATGTTCATATCCTTTGCTGTTGCTATTTGGGAAGTTGCCACTTTTAATGTAGTTTTGCAAAAACCAGCATATTAGATAATGTGTTTATCATTGCCTTTCTAATAGCTTTCTTTATTGAATAATGCATATCTTGATTCTGTTTATACGGAAGAAAGTTTGCTTTTCAGTTTCTTGGTGGTCAAAAGCACATTCTTGGGAAAGCAAGACAATATATAAGTAGTGCCACAGCATAATAATCTGAAATAATTCAATTTTTATTTTTTTCATTTTTTGGACATACCAGCTTGCCTCATTATCACCTGTCAATTCACAGCTTCTTGATTAAAACCCCAAGATCACACAGGTGCAGCATTATTGCTTCAGCATCTTTTAAAAGCCACACAGTGTAACACTGAATGGATGCCAAGGTTTGCGTGAAGGACATTGTTCAGGATAAACAGAATCTGGGAGAAGCTTTGAGGCTCTAGCAGATGAAATGCAAAGTGGATGGGACAGAGTGACCTGTTTTTAAATCTAGTGTCCTTTATCCAGCATTTCCTTAGATTTCTGTATTTACTTACATGCTAAAGTTTTGCATGCAACTGCTATAGTGTCAGTGAGGGTGGGGAAGGTTTCAAGCTAAATGGCTTTTAAGTTTTTCTTTTAGGAGAAATGATCAATAAGCTTTGAGGGGAAATGTTATGACTAGATGGAATTCTCATAAGACCTATACAATTTCTAAATTCCAATTTTTGGAAGGAAGGAAGGTGTAGACCATCCCAAGACTGTGGTAGTCAGGCAGTATACAAAAGCTTTGAATGAATGAATGAATGCTCTTTCTTTAAAGTGCAGCCAGCAAAACATTAATGTTTCTATGTACAGGTGTTACAGCTCTGCATGTCTTCAAAATATGTTCTGTGTAGTAGCAGTAACATCCTCAGAAATAACTTGGTTTATCTGTCAAGAAAACTGATTAATCATAGCATGAGGTAACGAGTAGGCAAAAAACAAAAGATACGAACACTAAATGCAGAGGGCAGGGTACGCTGAGGATTCGATGGTTGTAGGTTCTGACAGTTAAGGCTTCCAACTCTAACTTGTCAGCAGATACTTGGTTTTGATCTTTAATGCTACCAGTGTTTCTCTTGTTTCCCTGCCCAGAAATGTAGAATTGGTAGTTTGACAGGCTGAAGACAGCTGTGGGGAAAGAGGAGGGCATCCCAACAGTGTGTGCAAAGAGCCAGCTAGGCATCAATGGAGCCATTTAGACATGAATGAGGTGGATGATCTGCAGTTATGCTGGATTCGAAATCAGCTAGAAATTACAAATCCAGAGATTTTGCTTTATATTTGTGCAGTGAAGAAACAATATTTAGAAAACTGCCAACAGCAGTGATGGAAAAACACTGATAAAAATCTTCAATGATGTTAATGACTTCTAGCCTCTTCTACAGAGCTTGGACTTCTCAGCAGGAAAATAGGGCCACATCTACTCCCAGAATGACAAAAACAGTAATGTTCTAAGCAGCCAAACTCTTCTCCCTAACTGGCTGTTCTCTGCTTATGCCAGAACATGTAAATAGGCAATCAGGGCTGTAAAAAAATCGCTGTTGCTGTTCCTACACCAAAGGAACTGCTTGTACAATAAACAAAATGAATACGTTTTACTTCTCATCACACTTCCCTATGTAATGGGTCCTTTGGATTTCTTCCTGTATTATTTCCCACCCTTTTCCTTTCTTTTTGGGGCAGTAGTGCTTTGCTGCTTGCTGCTGTAACTGTAAAGTGGAGGTAGTATCCAGGTTTGTCTTGCATAGAGTAGACCCATTGAAATGAATGAAACTTAGTCATGCTGTGTTGACCCATTCATTTCAATTACTCTACTCTCTCTAGGACTAATATTGGATATTGCCCAAGGTGATGAAATGTCAACACATTTTAGTAGCTTTACTGGACCAATATTTAATGGAAGCTGACCCCAATACCCTCTGGAAGCTGTCTATCGCAAAGTTTGAACAAAATGAAAGTTTAGTGTGTGACCCACCAAAGCAGGAGGAGTACATAGGGCTGTGGAATGGGAGTGGAAATAGCTGAAAGCCATGCCCTTTCTCATTCTGCTGACAGAAGCCTTCCATCAGTGCAGGGAAACTAGCTGTATTCCAACCTTAATGTTTGTGAAGTACAGTAATGCAGTAAGTTCATATTCTTTTTTCCTCCTTTGCACAGGTTGATGATATTGGCTTCCCTTTGAACCATCCAAATCAGTATTTTGCAGAGAGTCAGCAGCTACTCAGTGGCATCAAGGAAATAAAAAAAGAACAAAAGCAACCTGAAAGCTCCCTGCCAAAGCAGAACAGCCAGAAAAGTTTAAACAGCACCTCCTCTTCTTTAAATGCAACAGAAGAAATGGAACTGGAAGGACTGGAGGAGTATTTTGCTGAAGATTAAGGAGCCTTACTTCCCCTTTATACCGTATTTTTTCTGTTTCTGTCTGTGTTTTCAAAGAGATCTCTTAAGATTGAGGAGTGACCACCATGATGAGTATAGATTTGTTGCATTCTACATGAAAAGGAAAATGGGGAGACGTTGTAGTGCATGTTAACTTAGAAACTTGTGCATCTAGTCTGAAAAGCAACCATCCCTTGTGACAATGAAATGACTCAGTGGTATACAAGAGGGTGTGCTACAGCAGTTTGTATTACATTTTCCCTTTCTTTTTTCAGTTTTGTTTTTTTAGACAGACATTTGAGTTTACTGCTGTAGAGTCTTTTGTTTCTCCATTATTTTTCTTAATAAACATTCTGAAATGTAGACCGGTGCAAATTACTTTGTCATTTTCAGGTGATGTCTGCTAAATGCAATATATATATATATATATATATATATATATCACATCACATAATTGTTTTATGAGTGATTCCTAGAAGTATGGAAAAGCTTTCTTGCTGTGATTTCAAGTATCAAAGGCTGCTGTTTGAAACTGCTAGGTTTTAAATACATTTTGTCAAATCCAATTACACTTAATTGTGTAGACTGGTCACAGTCAGCATAATTAAAACTTAGGTTTCTATCCATTCTTAAAGTTCCATTTATGATTCATGCTGAAGTGTAGTAAGAAAGCTTTGTATCCCAAAGCATAAAACAGAAATAAAAATCTTCAACAAAATGCTTATATAAAAATGGTGGGGACTATCCACTGTTATAGATCATGATACTTAGGAGAACACCTTATAATTACAGCAAATTAAAAATTTTAAAGATATAATTTGCATCTCGTAACAGTGGCTGTATAAAACCTGTGAAATCTCTTATTTCAGGAGTGATTTGCTTGGTGGATATGAAGTTAGATTGCTGCATCAACAGAATACAGTTAGGTCTAGGAAATCAAGAATGACATTCAGAATAACAGTTGATTGAAAGGGAGTATTAAAAACTACCTAGACTGTAGCCCTGTAATCACGTATCTCGGAATAAGCCCACTGAATTTAGTAAAACTTACTTTTGAGTAGACATTTACAGGATTACATTGCATGCTTCAGTGAAAATCCTTTCTTGATTGGAAGTACTTTGTTTCAAACGGCCTCTTAAAAATCTTCCTTGACTACTGGTATGTATTTTCAGCAGGTTTTCACCTTTTAATGTGATGCTGTAGCATTTAATTATATTGCTTAATTGCTTTTATACTATAGTATTACTTTGCAGAAAATGCTTCAGTGAGGCAACTATAAATGGAGACTTTTAAAGGCTGAAATGGCTACCACTGTTTATTCAGGGACAATATATTTGCTGTTCTTCACAATTCATGGCATTTCAAAATTTGAAAGCAGTGAATTCTGAATGGGTAATTCAAGTAAATGCTTAATTTATTTTACCTGAATAAATCCTTTATAAATTACCTTGTTGCCATAAAAGTATGTTATGGGCTTGCACTGACTCTCAGCTTTGTGGAGGGATGGGTTCAGTGTCTGTAGTTTGATAGATCAGATTATCACTAGAAAATGGAAAAGGTATAAAAGATGTTGCCACCACCAACAAATGTTCCATGCATATCTAAGCAGTCAAGAAGTCCTATCTTGTGAACTGAATTTAAATGAATAGCAGTCTACAGCCACATTTGTTTTCTTTCCCCTACCCTGTGCAATCCCATACAACTGCCATAGTTCCTTAGTACATGCTTCTTTTTTCTCACTCCTGCAAAACCTTTCATGTTCTCAGCAGACCCCCAAAGGTTTGGTTTGGAGAACATGACTTGAACTTGATTAGCTGTGACATACTAAGTTTATTAAGCTTCCATTTTTTCATTCTGTGCCACTAGCTTTAGAGAAAACCCACAGATAGATTGATTATATGCAGAATTCAGTAGGTGATCCTGAACTGCATGGTGGGATACTGCTGTGTTTTGAGGATTTGTAGGAACAAAGGAGAAAGGGTTGAGTGCAACAGCTCTTAGGCTTCTCCTGTTTCACTGGGAGTGGGATTGATCACCATCACTACAGGATGTCTTGTTATCTTGTGCCTTGGCACTTCATTCTGTTTAAGTCACACTGGATCGGCACCAAGTGCGTCTGCCTGCAGATTCCCCCTCTCCCTGCAGCCTACCACCCACATCTATTCTACAGGAAAAATGGGGGACCAGAAGTGGAAGCCCTGTGTGGGTAGACTTGTGTTCATGCACAGGGCCAGCTGAAATTGTACACATTCCAAGGTTTTTTTTTCTGGTGAAGTTCTACAGAGTATGTATCGCTTGATAAATATTTCCAAATAGCAAAGAAGTTCAACAGTAAATGTGTTCATTAGGTTGCAGCAATTTAGGTTAATGGATGTCCCATCATTGTCCTTGAACCAGGCAATCTTGTGATCCTGCTGTGCTACCCCACTGCAGTGCCAGAGTTAGCTGTACATTCCTAGCACCAAACTTGAAAGGGAAGCAACAGCCCTTCAAAAGATGTTTACAGGATTAAAACAGTCCTTTGAGAAGGTTTTAGGAAAAGGCACTGTCTATATTTCAAATAGTCTCTTTGTGGTTAACATAAGTAAATGTAGGAACAGTAGGGCCTGTTTAGATTTAAAAACACTTTGTATTCATTCATGGAAGAATCTTTTCCATGGAGTTTTTGACACTATTCCTCGTGTCTCATAAATCACTGTAACTAAACTTTAACTAAGTGAAACACACAACATTTCCTTGTATACTGTGGCTCCATCTCCCTCCTTGTAAACTCTGGAGCAGTGACTAACCACTCATATTTTGTGGAAGCACCCTGCATTCAGGTTTGTACTGAATGAATGAAATCCCTAAATAAATAAATAATAAATCCATCCATCCATCCATCCATCATTAGTATAGAATGGTGTCTGCATTAATTCGGTTTTATGTAGCCATTCCTGGGCTGAATTACCCACTGTGTCTTGTTTGCTGCATTTCTCTACCCTGCCACCCCTCTTATAAAAGAAAATATTTTATAGGACAACTTTTCTTACAGTATAAAACTTACTTTGTATTTGTGCCTGCTGTATTTACTTCAATGTCATTTTTGTAGCTTTGTCTTTTGATTTTCACTACCTGCTCATTACTGTGTAAAATCCAAACCCATGCTTTTCCACTGTAGAAAATTCTACTTTTTAGAAGGGTTTGTGGCACAAAGCCATGTCTTCCAGGAGCTTGTTACTTGTCAGTCATAAATATGTAGATGAAAATGGGATACTAAGGACTGTCATATTTTCAGGGTTGTGGTTGGCAAGGAGCCTTAGAAGAATCTTTTGACTTGGGCTGTACTTTAGTTGGGCACCTGAAGAAGAAAGTTACACTTGTGCTGTGAGCAGAAATGGCATTGTGTTTTGTCTTCTTATTTCATGTCTGTGCTTCCATTAGTTGGAGGAGAGACACTAGAAAAGACACTTTTTGGAAAACAGAAGAGTCTGAGAACAATTGCTCCCAAGAGAAGGCATGCTTGGCACTTCTTGCTTACAACAAAATGCTGAGCTGTTAATTAGTAACATTGGGCCGATACGTGGCAACTCAGGAACAATGAGCAGTACTCTTCTTTCACAGATGTTATGCTGTTTTCTTTCCTTGAAGGCAAATCACCATCTGGAGTTCATTTTTGCCTCTCATGATATAAGAGTCAACCTCTCCAAACAAGAGTCAGAATGCTAATATTGTTCTTCTGCTATTTTTACTGTTCTTTCTTAAATACCAATTATTTGAGGCAAGGGATTGGTTTATATCCCTGCCCTTCAAGCAAGTTGTGAGGCGATTTTACAAAAAGTGGAAACAAAAACAGAGAAACCTTACCTATAATATAAGAAAGCAATATTCTAAAAGAGCAGTGTGGGACCATGATCAGGGATAAAACATTAAATGGTGTAAAAGCCTGGGAAAATTAAAAGATCCTTGCCTTGCATTCACAAAGCTGAGTAGAAGCTAGGCAGGCTTTCCAGAGGCAAAAATTCTGTGATCACGGTGCCACCACTACAAAGGCCTATACTTGGTAACACCAACCACACTTCTGAGGGTAGCGGTAACCATTGAAGGGCCTCAGGTTAAGAGCTTCATATGCAGACAGGAACATACTGTCACATTTGAGGTATTGTAAAGTTTACGGTTATAACTAAAAGCAGTAGATAGAAAAATCCATATGGTCTTTTCAGCAGTAGTGGCACAGCTCTGTTAATGCTCTTGCCAGCCAGCCTGCTCTTGACACCTACTTTTGTATCTCCTGGATAATCTCCCATCAGGTCTACACAGGATCAGGCAAGGGAAAAGGAAAGCAATTAAATGCTTTACAGCATAACTCAAAGAGTTCCTGCATTGAGAAAGCTGCTTCCAGGGGTCTAGACGTATATTGCATGCTCTTAATAGTTTAGCAGTCTTCCAAGAATACCATCACAAACTTCCCTGGCTTAGACTGGCTTACATTTGTATTATAGGTGCACCCTAGAATCTGGCCTAGAAGCCCAAAGTATTAGCCTCTTGTCTCTCCATTCGTGCTTGCCTGGTGGCTACTCAACTATTCTTCTGGCACCTGTTGAAGACTGCCCTCTATGATGAGGCATGTAACAGCTTTAAAATGCACATGGGGTGAGGCTGAGGGGTTAATAAGCCTACATGTATGAACTCGCCTTGTTTACAATTTATTTTTAAATCTCGAGTTGAATGTGATGATGTCCTTAGGATTTCTTTTTTATATTGCATTGTATGAATTATATGGCACCTAGACAACTTTGGCTATGGGCAATATAGTAATATAGCTCACAAAAACACGGTTTTAGTACAACTGCCTGTGGGGAAGGCTAGCTTGAAGCTCTAAGTATAGTGAAGCACAGAAAGGATCCTCCAAGCTCATGGGAAGTAGCATATGTACAATAGGAACAATCCCATGCATCTTAAATCACTGTGGAATCAGTGAGACTAAGGTGGGCCTCTACGGGAGAGGTGCAGGATTGAGGTAATCCTCACCTCAGTTAGGAAGAGGTGGCCTTCCTAACTGGATCTCTACAATCCTGCAATTGGCCACACTCCCTGTGTCTGTGTGGTGTTTTCCTGGCATTTGTGCAGGTTTGTGTGTGTGTGTGTGGGGGGGGGGGGTCATTTTAAATGGTTGAAATCCTCTCCTAAGACTTAGTTCCTGGCAGGAAGAACATTAAACTAATGTTTTGTGGGCATGGTAATGTGAGCATTTGGGGCCCTACTTCTTTTGCTGCTGGCTGCACTTGTCACTGGAATGTGGCCTGTGAGAGTGTCTCTACAGCAGAATTCAGCTCTCCAGCTGAAACAGGTTCAACACCCCTAGACAAAGGTTTGTATCTGGTGTTCGTCTAATATAAGCCCCAGGACTAACCTGCATCATTGTTTTGTGTCAACATTGATTTTCCTCGATTACTGCCATGGCACGCAATGCACTCCATGTTCTTGTCTGAATGCCAGTTTCTGGAATGTATCACTCCAGAATTTCCTGGGTATCTTTTATAACGATTTTACTCTGGTTCCCTTGTGTATGTAGTCATGTGTATGCACTGACATTACTTATCCCATTGCGGAGGCGCCAAATGCTTTGGAATACTTGGAGATAGCCATTTATGTTGCAGGTGTGGGGAATATGTTTTCAGCACCCCAGTGAATCCTTGGGGTGGGCAAAAGGTTCTCCACCTTTGCTTCCTGCTGTCCTGTCTGGTAGTTGTTGCTTGCCCTCTGTGCATTTTCCTCCTGAAAAACAAAAGCCTTTTTCCCCCCTGCACACCTTTGCAGTAGCAAGGAATTGCCTCTGGTAGCTGTGTTGGACAGCCTCTGTATGATAGCTCTGTCTTACCCTACTACTTCGGCCTAAAGTTGTAAACATGCTAGTGCAGCCCTAAGAACTCCATTTACTCAAACAGCAAGGATGTGAGTATAAGGCAACTTTTGTTAGTGATGCTGGTGGCATCCATTACTGAAAAAAAACATACACTGAAGGAATGAACCTTTCTCCATTCCTTTGCAGGGGTTTAGGTGCAAAAGAATACAGAGAGAGAGCGAGCGGGAGAGCAAGCAAGAGCGATTGCTACTATCACATGTTGTGTGTAGTATTCTGAGCATATCAGCAAGCTAGCACCACCCATTTTTAGCATGATGGGCACAGCATGAGGTTCCGAGTGATCCGAGCAAATGGAATGAAACCATTGCCTGTTCTGCAAAAGGTCTTGAAGTGTGCACTGTGAGTAGGAAATGTGCAAGATGGATAAAGTGGCACAGTAATGATGTATTTACAGAATTGCATGAGCTGTAGATCCCCCATTCATTTCATTGGGCTAGTATTGGAGATGACCATAAATTGCCTTGAAATGCTAACACTCTCCATAAGTGCTATGATTTTTGGAGGAACTGGGAAAGGCTTTCCCTAAAGTATTTCTTGTGGT